TAACTTGGAGTATTGGCAGACATATAAAGCCTGCCCGGTCCCCCAACTCAACCTACAACTTATACGCTGCATATGGGATAGTCTTCTTCCTTGATCTGTTTGACCATCTCTCTCTATTGTTCACTGTCACTTTGAACCACATATGCCCCCTTTCTCGAGCCCGGCCGTTCCTGTCCCTAGAGACCTCCGGACTTTGCCCGTCGGCCACCCTCAGAGTGCCGCGGAACTAGGATTGCTGTCAACGTCCCCAAACCCTACCCCTTTAACAAGTGACGACGAGGATGAGGGCGGTATTTCCTTGGCACGTCTACGGAGCCCATCTGCAGGGAACTCTATTGAAACTGGTACTTCCAGTAACGTGGAGAGGAACTCCAATAGTTTCTCACATGGCTCGCACCGTCCAGGTGATAGTATCGGTAAGTTTCGGCTCCACTATGATTTCAATAGCCGCTCTGATCCTAAATGAGACAACCCGAGTGTCCTCGATGCTACAACAACGGTAGCCAGTCATACAACAAATGTTATAGATGCCGTTTCGAACAGCCGCCAGCAAAAAGAGTGCGGCACCGGCGGTGAGCAATGAGTTTTCCACCTTCACTGGTGTATACTGTTACTGAAAGAGTACAGGCCGTTCACTTTAGAGGCATTATGAATGCAAGATATGCTATTGTAAAGTGGTAGATCTCGTGTTAGGCTGTGGTCACGTTTATTGCTATGATTGTTTCAACAAATTCTTTCACGATTCTGTGCTCTCCAAAGCCCTGGGAGATTCTAAATTGGCCTTTGAGTATCCAAGAAAACGACGTTGCGAACCATGTTGTCCAGTTTGCAAGAAGACTCTTCCCGGCTGTTTTACTCGTCCAAATAATCGCGATCGTCTCGTCGGCTTCTACGTTCCTATGCGCTGCCCAGTTCAAAATCCCCTCACTGTTTTGTTGATGACTACTTGGTGCAGGGTATCAAATTAAGGATGCTGTGATTTCAGAATGCCCTTTTATGGAGCTTTGGAGGACTTTCTATATGGTGTTTACTTCGTACATCTGCCATGCGATGTCAGTCAATCAAAAGGCATTCCCTCCAATTTTGGATGTAAACCCGATATTTAACTGGGCGCTGGGCTTACAAAAATGAAGCAATTGGTGCCAATCGTACAATGTCATCGCGACTGTCTAAAGAAGCGTGCCGATTTTGTTTTCTTCGGCAGACTTCCTGAAAATGACAATGATTCCTAACAAGAACAAGAAGAAGAGTAATAATCGCGCTTGTCTCCACTACGACGTTTTTACCATAATTTGTGGGAAGCTGTTTACGCAAAGAGACTGCCAATCTTGGCACCACTGCGTTGAAGCAGGCGGTTCTCTTGAACTAGCTGCACTTAAGAATGTCGGCGTTGCTGATTCGAAGATTTTGTCTTCAACGTCCAGAACCCTAGCCAGGAAACTGCCCTTAAACTGTTTGATGTCTTACGTGAAAGGCACAACCAAAGAGATGGCGATAAAACTTCAAAGAAAACCAATTTAGCGACGCGGCGAAAAACTGGCTCATACTTTCGGTGAAATTTGGATTCAGGTAACACAGCGAAGCGATCGCCCAAATTCATGGGATGGAAAATTTATCATGTCTGGAAGCCATGATGAACGCAGCTGTCGTGGGCTGGGATGATCTTTACCGAGAATGGCTTGAACGCGAGAAAAACCTTCGCAGCGATGTCCAGCGCTACCGATTTGCGCAATATCTCGGCCGGTCGCTACACTACAACTCGTCGTTGAGCTTTTCTCGAATCAATACTATTGAGAGAGATTCGCACCAATGCCGCGGCGTTACGTCAATTCGATCGCATGTTGGCGAGCCGTGTAAACAGCATCATCAGAGAGATCCAGGAAACAAGGGCCCGGAACGAAATTGCCAGCATCACGGTCTGGGTGAGATCCCTCAAGGAGGTGAGAGCATCCTCCCTTTAAATTGAACAAATTAAAATGACAGTTTAGCAGGTCCTTAGAGCCGGCCGTGAAAAACTGAGCAGTAGCCAAAGAAGGTTTTGAGGAAATTGTAAGGATCGTCAATCCTGGTCGGCATTCCTGGTTTATACCGACTTCTGAGTGTAGAACGGCGGCTCAAGCGCGCGCGAATCCTGTAGCTTGAGATCATAACCATGTATACATCTACACATATGCTTCAACGCGTCCACAGTATAATATCGGATGAGTGATACCGTATCGGAAACTGAACCGACAACAGATTCGGAATTTATTGTAACTGCTCAATAGCCTCGTCGACGAGCTCCGCAACGCTGCAGTGGCCATGGGATAGTGGGATATACAATTCGAGACTGCCCTAGTAGGTATCTATCTTGTTCAGATACTTTGTTTGATAAATATAATGGCGTTGGTTTTAATGGGAAAAAAAAGCTCAGAAGATATTCCGATGGAATGGGCACGGCTCGGTGGCTGAAAACGTTCACTAGTTACTTGCCGCGCCTGTTTACGTAAGCAGTAAACTAGAGCCATCTTGGTCAGCTTCTAACTTGTCCAAACTCCGTCAGCGTTTGCCGAAAGTACATTTGTCGCGGAATACCTCGCCTCGCCTCACATAGTATATTCTCAAGAGCACAAAAAAGTGTAAACATGGATTGGGAAGCCACATCTACCAGCCACGGATCTATGCAGACCGTTAAGCGAATTCTGCAGGTCGGTGAAGCGATTAACTTTGCAGACCCCCAACGCAAAGAGGATCTACGCTCTCTTGAAGTCGCTGATAGCCCCTTAAACGAATTCTCAAATATGCTGGAAGCATATCATTCCATGCTCAATACTGGTTCTAGTATTGCTCTTTGTCGTGGGGAAACGCTATTTTGCACGCGGTTGAGCAGAAGTCTAGAGACTCTCTTCACGACAAATGAACCAGTGGTTGTCGATGGACCCCGAATCACCTGGGCTACACTCGTACTGGCTGCAGGCCCCGCATATGATGGTTCAGCCAAGCTGGTGATAGACGATTCACACGTGGATCTTCCGGGAATTGACTATCAATTAATAAGATCTGGCCGACCATGGCGATTCCTTTCTCCATGGCCAGGAAGTGATGATTGTCAAAAGGAATTGGGGGCGATTGAGAAGACGCGAGAGGAGCTCTCTAATATCGAGCAGAAATTAAGAAGAGGTCAGAGACGTCCTGAAGCAGACAATCTACCAAATCTAACCTTTAGGTACAGTTTTGGACGCGACATCCGCACTAGATCGGAAGCTGGGCCGTCGCCATAGCATTGTTGCCCGACTTCTCGAGGATCAAGCACGCGATGGGCAGAGGGCAGGACCAGGCTGTGTCTACATGAGCACAGGAGGTATGGACCAGGGTAGTACCCTGGAGGCCCTGGTTCAGGAGACGACTGGGGATTCAGCTTCTGCCCAAGACAATGGAGCCCCGTTGCTCGTAGCTCGAACGATGCACGGGGTTGAGCAAGTCGCTCAGCTGAAGCCGATTGCTGATGGCCCGCAGGAAGCACCAAATCTGGCTTCTGCTGAGAGCGAGGGATTCAGCGGGATTGAACCGGGAGGCCGAGAGGCTGACCTTCAAAAGCCTGCCTCACATACCGAGCCCTTTGTTCAATGCCTTAGCGAGTAAGCCTCATCTGGAATACCCATTGTACATTTGCCTCTAACGGAGAACAAGTGTGCTCGACGATCCAGAATTCAACGATGTGATGTGCTGGTCGCAGGATAATCATTCTTTCTCAATTCTCGCGGAGAATGATCTACCTGCCGAGTTGCTTGACAGATTTGGGACGGAAAGTCTTCATTCTTTGGTTCGACGATTATATTACTATGGATTCCATAAAGTTGGTGGGACCTGGAGACACGATCAATTCGCTCGAGGTGTATCGAGTTCTATCTGTCCAGCTCGGCGCAGCAGCAATTCCCCCTTGGCTGACATCAGGCACGGACTCGGACCTCGGTACAAGATCATCCAGAAACGTAGAGACCGTAAAAGACATTGACAGCTCAGTATTGGTGCTCCTCGAAGAGCTCACACTGCCTGCTGAACTGGGTAGTCTTGAGCTAGTACTTTCAACATGATTAGGTGGATTTGCCTGGCCCAAGTATTCATGGTCAAATGGAGTGCAGAGTCTCGGGTGGCATATAAATCTTGATGCTAGCAAACATAAAGAATTACCGAGAATAATCACAGCTTGTAGTCTTTTGGGTGGGTCGGACATAACATGCTGAGGCAGAAAACTCTGACCCACCTATCATTTGAGGACAGCCAGACCTTGGCTGATGTGAGTGATTGCTGACCGGTCCATGATTTAGCTTGAAGATCTTCATCATTATAGACTGCGTTGACTGACCCAGAAACAGTGTATTGTTCTTGGCAACTCTGGGCCACCATGGCAATGTCCTGGAGGCCGGAAGAACAAGGGTTGAAAGTAGCAACCGGGTCAACGCAGGTCAGGTGTGCCATATCTGATTCGTGTCCCAGAGCCCTGCACGAACGGCGCCTCTAGATCGAGGTAGCCAAGTGGGTGTGGAAAGATCGTCTAATCAGTGGGCGGGAAACGCCTTACCCACTACCAAATCATGGTAAACACAGGGTTGTACGGACTTACGGAGGCGATATCGAGCCCCTCAGCAGGACGTAGAGAAACAAGGACGGGAATAGGGAAGATCTATGGAGCTATAGAGCCATTTTCTCT